TCGCGCCCCGCTTCGGCGGAGCCTCATAGCTACGAAAATGTGGTAATCTACCCATCCGAGAAAATTGGTAATCACGTGACCGTACACCGACCGTCCACAGGTATACCAATGTAAAATAACTCAATCAACAGGTATGGCAGCCCAAATGCAACCAAAGGTTTTATTTGGAAGGAAATCACATGGCCGTCCGGACTTTAGAAAGAAAAACAACAACAAAGTCGTGTCTTTTCGGCGTTATTTTTTATGTTTACACTAACGTGGATAACAGAGAAAGAGCTAGAGCGAGTTATTGAATACAAAGGAGAGGAATTTCGTAGGAAGAAAAACATGGATTGAGAAATTCAAAGCGGGGGTGAGAAAATGAGAAATGCTAGCGGTCAGCAAGGTGAAAATGAGCGGCAGTGAAAAATAAAAGCGAACATGAACACAGGAAACAAAATATTGGGTAAGCACATACGAAAATTCCTTCCGTTGTAGTCGTGCAAAACAACGGCAAGGGAAAGACAAAAAAAAGTACGGCACGTGCAAATTTGTTTTTGCTAACTAGTAGAAGAAGTGTGCTGCACGTGCAATTTGTTTTTTTTTGCTAATTAGATCTATTAGTCTTGAAGTCATTTTCATTGTCGTCCCCGTTTGGCATTACACGATTTAATTTTTTGTTTGTTTACACGTATTATTAACCAGAGCTTCGCTTTTAGCCCTTGCTAAATCTATATATTACTTATATACTTATTGTAAACAGACTTAATTATTAGTATCCAATTGTAAATTGCACTGTTTATTCAGCGTATCAATTTGCCAATCGATAAATCGATAAAAATCGGTAAATGTGATTTGATTGATGTCGATTGTATCGATCAATCGGTAGAAATCAATGACACACTCGTTTTTTATCGATTTATCTTGATTTTTACCGATTTCATCGATTTCATATCGGAAGATACATCTGTTCATCTGTTTATCAAAAAATGAAAACTGACTTCATGCAAACAGTAAATTTATTGAGAATTGAGTTGAAATTGCATTAACAGTGGAAGGATGAAACATTTATCACCGTATTGTTTATCAAAGATTTGTCGCTTTTAAATAAATCTTTAAAAAAATCTTCTCTTTTCTTTAAAACCAGTTTTAAAATCTTCTTCTGATGGCTCACTGTAATTTTCAGGGAGTTATAATAACTCCTCTAGTGGGGCTAATTTAACTCCTTACAGTGGAGTTATTTTTCGTGGAGTTACTTTAACTCCAAAAAGGAGTTTAAAGAACTCTTTTTCAGGAGTAAAAGTGACCCCAGATATCGAGGAGTTAAAATAACCCCAAAAAAGGAGTTATCCTGTACCTAAAATTTTTACTCCACTTTCAGAGTTAAATTAACTCCAAAAAGAGTAAAAACAACCCATGTAAGGAGTACAAGTAACCCCATTTCGGACTAATTTTAACTCCAGACTGGGAGTAAAAAGAACTCTTTTTCAGGAGTAAAAATGACCCCAAATTCGGAATTAAATTAGGAGTTAAAATAACCCCAAAAAAGGGGTTATCCTGTACCTAAAATTTTTACTCCATTTTTGGAGTTATAATAACTCCCTAAAAATTACGGTGCTGATATTGGCCAGGTTAATAGGCGCCCAGGTTTTTAGGATTTAGATCTCCCCCACTTTCAGAATAACGTCGGTGTAGTTCGGGTCGATCGAGTTGTATATAAGTTACATCCCGGAGTAGTCGATAGATAAAAATCCTAATCGATAAAAAATCGTTAGCAATCAAGTGATTTTTATCGGTTGATAACGGAACGTGAAGTGGAATCTCTCAAGGGATTTGCCTGAATCCCGACTCGGAGGAATGTCTGAAATTTAGGGCGCTTTCCATTTGTCAGAACTAGCCGGCCGGACCAATCAGTTAGCAAATGAAATGAGCTTTTTCCAGAGGGTTTTGCTGAAAACTGCTATCTCCTTCGTGCATACCATTTAGGATTTGACTGATCTGGTTGGATAGTTTTGATTAAAAGTGAAATTCTCATTACTACGGGAATGGTCTGGCCGGTCAGTTCTGGCAAATGGAAAGTGCCCTTAGACTAGGAAATCTTTATCTAACGGTTGTATTCCACGTGATCCTTGCTTGCGAGAACTGAATGTAACTGAACCGTTTTTGTTATGTACAAAATAAAGCGTTCTAGAGAAAAAAATTGCGTCTGTAATAGTTACCATATTTCACTTTTTCATGTTTGTTGATCAGTTGTTACTCGTGGATGCGTTTTCTCAGCTGTACTATCCACTGTACTATCTAACTCATAGCCTGCGTAGCAGTCGCTTGGAGGTAGTTAGGGAGGTTTAGCAACGACGACGGCGACGGCATCGAGGACGTCAAAAAAGCAATAGGTTTATATTAGGAAAACAACACTTTGCACGTGCATCACGCTTTTTTGTTCATTTCCTTACCGTCCTTGCACGACTACAACGTAAAAATGCCTAATTGCAAGTTCTATGGAGGACGTAAACAAGCGACGACGAATCTCTTTTTTTTCTCTCTAAACTTGAGTGCGGTCCTCAAGAAATCAACTCCAGGAAATTCGCCTACACTTGCCATTTTCAGCAAATTGGAATAAACGCGACAAAGATTGAAAAAGCGGGAATTCGTTTTAAAACTGACGTTTTCGCTGCCGTTGCCGTTGTCGATGCTAAAGCTCCCTAGGGGGCGAAAGAGAGAACGGGCGCGCGCGAGGGAGACACGCGTGTCTCCTTCTTGTGCCCACTACTTCCAAGCGCCTGCTACGCAGGCTATCTAACTCATACCATCAAACAACAATTCACAAGGAACCCGAACGCTGTATTAGCTAATAGAAAAATTAGTTGTATTTACGCTGTATTAGCTAATAAAATAATAATATGTATTTACCTTTGTTCCTGTGTCTTTATGAGTCGTTTTGGAAGGGATTTGAATCCGATCAGAGACAGTTAACATAATTTGCTGGTTATCAAATGCGTTTGTTTGTCTTGCGCGTCGTAAATAAGACGCTCAAATTTCGTCTCAAGTTTCCAATATTGTCTAGCCTGCGAACCGCAGACGCATTTCCGGTCGTCGCTTCTCTCCCTCCGAAAAATAGCGTCTGCGAACCCGAGCGACAAAACGATTTCCGTGACGTAAAACCTTTTAGCCGATCACGGTTTAGCTCTTAAAATCAAGGAACTAACTCGCGAGACTTCGCAGGATCGTGCGCGATGGATATGTTTTCAAGTCGAAATTGAAAGGACGACGTGGCTTGTGTATAGCCGTCCTTTTTTATCAGAACGACGCGTTTACGAAAGTTAATTTGGCAGGATTGTGGGACTGAAAGATGAAATAAGTATCAAGAGGATTCATATCGAAGAAAAGATTAGAGGACATTTTTCATCTATTTGCCTACGGAGTCAATGATTTATCAGACTTAGTTGTTTTGATCATATTTGAAACGATAACTGTCCTAATGACAGTAGACGCATCATGCCATTTGTTGCTTCTGTTCCTTTCTGGTTCCTGGCAGGAAAGTATACCTTGGAGAACTCTTCGATAGTTTGTCGTGTGCCGTTTTAGATATTTTTTAGTAGATATCCTTTATCTTTGAAAGGCAGGACATGTGGTAATTGATTTCCCATGCGTGGTTGCTTCTTGGTTCAGATAGAACTTTGATCAGATCGAAAGCATTTTATATTTGTTCCGGTATATTTCTTTAAATACATGTTCTTTTCAAGGTTCTCATTTCCATAGTTTTTTATGAGATGTGTAGAAGCGTCGCAGCTGAAATGTCATTTTGACTATGATCTATTTAGTGCTGTAACTATTTATTTCATGCTGGGTCTGGCCCAGGTTTATAATATTTCAGATCATTGTGTTGTGGCTATACTAGAATTATTAACGAGCGATTGTTAGAGATTTCTGAATCAGTCAAGGATGTGCCTGTATAATTGATTCACCACCTTTTGTCAGCGCTGGTTAAATTGAAATAAATAAGTCTGAGCGCGATGTCATTAAGCTATGTTGCTTTCCTTTCGCTGTAGCGATTATTTTGTCCAGGTTTTGTTTATGTCACGTACTACCGTATTTTATAATGCGAAACCAAAGGCCCACATCAGATACATAGCTTAATTTAAGAAGCAGTTGCTTCATAAAGAAGTCAGCATTCAACGTCGCAGGAAACCTTGTTATGGTCGTGAAATTCACGTTCCAAAGCGTATTTGGTAATTCTCTCCAAAATCCAAGACACTTCAGCGCGCGAGGTCGCGAGGAGTCACTCGAGCTGTATTCTATCCTTTGATCTGATTGGCCTACATCAAAACAAGAGGTTTTACGTCACGGAAATCGTTTTGCCGCTCGGGTTCGCAGACGCTATTTTTCGGAGGGAGAGAAGCGACGACCGGAAATGCGTCTGCGGTTCGCAGGCTAAATATTGTCATGTTGTCGATCTCCTTGGGAGATGATAACAGGTTTCAATTTAACGGTCACAAGAGGAAAGTTAGAAACGTGAGACGAAGCTTGAGCGTCTTGACGCGCCAGACAAGCAAACGCATTTGATAAGCAGCAAATTATGTTAACCGTCTCTGATCGGATTCAAATCCCTTATAAATCCTTAAAATCAAGAAAAATCGATAATAAAATCGACACAGCACTTTAGTTTATCGATTTTCGCCGATTTCCGTGATCAATCGATAAAAATCACTTGATTGCTATCGATTTTTGTCGATACCGATTTTTATCGATTGACTACCCCGGGTTTCTTACTGTTTTTTGCCCTACGAGCGCCGTGATGCATGATGGATGGGATGGATAACGACGGATGATGATGATACTGGAAAATGAGAAGACCCTGGGGACGAGTCCAGGTTGGATCGTAGGCCCGCTGACCAAAAAAAGAAGGCTCTGAGTTACGAGATTGCAAAATGGCGGACCGTCACGGCGTATGAAAAAATCTTCGATTCTCTTCCATGGAATCATCAAGTTGATGAAACTTCAGATAACAGAATTTCGACGTGATGTCCAGCGTAGGATTTGACGAAAAGTCTTCTGATAGACTAGAAGGAACTCGTTCTGTGGTCGGAGGCTTGATCTTAAAACAAGGGAACAACAAGAAAACGAATCAATCACCCAAGGAAAGCGTCCTTGGTCTGCAAAAGCTCGCTGAAGAGAAAAGGAAGCGAAAGATTGAAGAAGACTATGAAAAAACGAAACGATTGAAAGATGGATCATCAAATTGTGGAGCAGATGAATGGGAAGATGGAAGCGATGATTTGAAAGGTCGTTGGAAAGTTAGTTCGGGAAGTGGAGAGTTAAAGTCGAAATCTCGCCACTACAGATCTAGTTTAGTGGAAACACCTTCACATACAGGTGGTGTTAATGAAGAAATAAGGGAAAAACAATTGAGAAGATTAGAAAGGGATAGAGAAACGAGGAGAGCAGGAGTGTATGCTGAGTCAAGGGTCAAAGAGAGAAAGGACGCTTATCGAGATGGCTATAGACACCGAAATGACACTTATGGTGATCGGGAAAGACGAAAATATGAAAAAGGAGAGCGTAGTAGCCGTAGATCTCAAAACTATAATGGAGATAAAAGGGATGAGTTTAGGGAGCCAAGATCTCGCCGAAGTGAATGGGAAGAAACGCCATACAGGAGTAGTAAGTCTACAAGAGATGAAGGTTACACTCCAAGACACAAGTCTAAGGGTATGATTATCCTATATCTAGCCTCATCTGCAGCATATGCTGTCACTTCCAAGCTTCATCCCATAAAAGGCTGTTTCATTTAATATCTGTATTCCCTTGTTGGGGACGAATGGAATTCCTCATGGGTATGACTTGTTGTAAAAATTGAGGATTTCTTTGAGGGTAGAGTAAAAAAACATGGACAGCTTTAATTTCCATGAAATTCTTCAAGGGTAGACCCATATCCTTCAAGAGGTAGACCCGCATTTGACAGAAGTCTCTAGGGGTGAATAGAATTTTATTCAATCTTCAGGGGTAAGAAGAAAAGATAAGTCCTCAACCAGGGGTATGGATGTTAAATACAATATATTTAGCCGAAAAAGCTTTGTATGTGGATATGCATTCATTCTATAAACCTAATATGTGCTTTATATGCTGTTCTAAGTGGATTTGCAGTGACTAATAATTGATTTAAAGGTTTTTTATCAACTCGATAGGTGGATATGTGGATATGTTGTGACAAAGTGGACTTAAAATAAATGTAATGATCATGTATCCACATATGGACCTATTTTTAGTAATTGCTTTAAACTGACAAGGCAGTTATTAACCTGAATGATACTTCTGTTAGATATTAGAACACCTTCACGGAGTAGTTGGGATGATGAGGAGTCGACACCCAGCAGGTCAAAATGGGAAATGCCATCGCCCGCCAGATCTGTTAGTGAAGATGTAAGGAGTGAAAGAAGGTGAGTCAGTGTAAAGCCAAAACTGCATTGAGTGACCATTATAGCAAGATGAGCTAATTCATCATAGCCCTTCACTTGGACAACTACAGCTTAGGCAAATCTAGCAGTTTGTATTTGTATTTATTAACAAAGTCAGCGAAACTAAATTGTCGTTAAATATATTGTGCTTGATAACTGTTGTTCTCCATTAATTTTGTAGATCACATCTCAGAGTTGATGATACACCTCGTTTTACTCCCACACATAAATACAATGTTTGGGAAGATGATCGCCGTAGTACTGGAGCAACACCAAGATTCTCCAAAGGAAAACGTAAGAACTTGACTGGTATCTTACACCATTTTACATACAGAAAGTTCTCAAAAATGATGAAATTATGTATATTGTGTTCAATGCTGCAACCTCCTGTGGGAATGAAATGCAAAACAATTTTTGGTTTAAGTACAGACTGTCACCTACTGCATATAAGAGATAGACTTCCTGAGAGGCAGTTCGCCCAAAGTCAGTCTCCTGTAGGGAAGGTAAGGGTATTTTATGATGGGTTGTATTCTGGGCCCAGGCCCAGTTGTTCGAAGGCCGATTACCGGTAGTGCTTACCCCAGGGTTAAATTTAACCCAGGTTTCTTTTTCTTGTGTTCAAAAGCATTTTCTCGGAAAATTTTCTCTGTTATTTTTAGAGCTTCCAATCATCAACTTATAGACAAAAAGAATTAAAACTGAAATGCTTTTTAAGCTTTCAAATCTGAATTTAAACCTGCCGCTAACCCTGGGTAATCTTAACCTAGCTTTGAACAACTTTGCCCAGGTTCTTTAGGGCTAGGTTGGCAGCAATTGGTCAATAATAATAAGAAATTATGATCACATTCCACACAGCTAAAAGTGTACATGCCATCAATGTGTTTTTAGGATCCGATGTTAGGCATGAATCACAATTTCCATCAGATGTTGACAGGGAAGAGTGGGAAGAAGAACAAAAGGTAATTGTCACTTGTTCAAAACCAAATTTTAAACATGGCATTTTAAAAGCTTGGTATTTTAGCCATAGTCCAGTCGTACCATTATGAAAGGTGGATGTATAAAATTATGTTGAACATTAGTAGTCGATGTAATATTAATAATATTATTATTATTAATTTATATTAGTGCTATTCAGCTAATCTTCCATAATTGAGCCTATTGTTGAGAATCTTAGATTCCTATAAGATATACATTTATGAAATAACTAAGATAGTAGGCGCGCTCTGATTGGCCGAGAGGAGTGTTTGCATGAGAGTATGTAAACATGGTTGTGGCTTCAAGTTGTTTGGCTTTTCGCTAATCAATCACAAGCTCGAATTTGAAAAAGTTTTCGAGTTCAAAACTTGGCAAGTTTACTTTATTTGCCCTTTCCTTGGTCGGCTGAAACATGGAAAATCATTACATAGAAGGTGAGTCAATTTTTCTTCGCTTAAGCTGACATTTTAAGCGAGAAAAATCCGTATTTTGTAAAGCATCTTTTTGCAAAACAAGAACTGATTACGCGTGCAAGACTTTGTGGACAAGATTTTGCTACTGGTAAGAATTTCTCTTTTAATCAGTGCCATACAAAGAGTTTTGCGTTTTTTTCTCGGGAAAGTTATTTTATAAAAGCAATAGAAAACTTTTTTCCTGTGTTTGCATAGCCTGATATAAACACTCGAGGCGTTGGGAGAATTCTGGACGGTTATGCAAACCCTCGACTTCGTTTCGGGTTTGCATAACTGTCTCGAATTCTCCCAACCCCTCTCGTGTTTATATCAGGTTATGCAAACACGGAAAACGTTTTCTATTGCTTAAGTAATATTATTATATAATAGAGTCTCTTTAAATTTGTTGACTATTACTGTAATTGTCTTTACATTTTAACAGAGACTTGACCGTGCCTGGTATGACATGGATTCTGGTTACGATGAAACACACAATCCATTTGCTGATGTTAGTGAAGAGTACACTAAAAAGAAGGAAGAAAACATGGCTAAGAAAGCAGTCAAAAGAATGTCTGCTCAGCAGCGTCAGATCAATAAGGTGTACGCAAAAGTAATAAGTATCAAATAATTTCAATTGAACACTTGTTTTCATTGTCATTGTTTTATTATTATTATTATTGTTATTATTATTATTATTGATGCTTTATTACAACGACTCAGAAGGTTCACGTAGTCAATGTACTTCGTTATCCAGTTATGAGGTCCCTGATGTCTACATTTTTACTCAACTTGATGTTTTGACCATTATGGGTTGAAGTTAATCTACTTGGATTTTTTTTCTTCAGGATAATGACCTTTGGGAGACTAACAGAATGTTAACAAGTGGTGTAGTACAAAAATTAGAGGTTGATGATGATTTTGAAGATGACCAAGAAGCCAAAGTCCATTTGTTGGTCCACAACATAATGTTCCACCCTTCCTGGATGGACGAATTGTCTTCACAAAACAACCAGAACCTGTTATTCCAGTCAAGGTATTTAAATAACCCAGTTTATACATTTACAAGTTTGGTGGAGGAGTTAATCTCGGAACTACCAAGACTTCCTCAAATACTCCTAGGGTCAGGGTGGGATGTCGACTTGGGGCCTTCAGATTTCAAGTCCAATGTTCCAACTGATTAGCCACGCATACTGCCACCTATGCATTATCTCCAGGAGTAGGGCGATGAATTTTCAGTTTCTAAGCAAACAAAACTAAGCTGGTTTTAGTGTCAAGTGAAGGCATTGATATTCTCCCGTTAATGATATTTTTTAACCATTGGGTGTTAAATTATTTTAATAGCAACCTAAGGAGCAAAAAAAAAGTGTAAATTGTAATTTGTTTACCGACAGAGCACTAAGGAGTTCATAAGAACTTGCTGAAACGTGTCCGTGCGTTCCAGATCGAATTGGAATTTGAAAGTGTTGGTTTTTAAGGAGAGGGGAAAACTGGAGTACCCGAAGAAAAACCTCTCGGAGCAAGGGAAAGAACCAACAACAAACTCAACCCACATATGGCATTGACGCCAGGATTCGAACCCAGGCCACATTGGTGGGAGGCGAGAGCTCTCACCACTGCGCCACCCTTGCTCCCCAATATCAAGTGATTAATTTTTATTGTTTGCATGTTTGATTGAAAGTTACAATTTGTACAGAGTTATTGTACAGTGTAACTGACCAAATGTGTACACCTTTACTTATTTGTAGGATTCCGCCTCTGACATGGCCATGATTTCTAGAAAAGGCTGCCATGTTGTACGCCTGCACAGAGAGCAGAAAGAACGACAAAAAGCTCAGCACAAGGATTGGGAACTTGCAGGAACTAAACTGGGGAACATTTTGGGAGTGAAGAAAGAACAAGAGGAGGTACCTTAACTTTCATTGCAGGAGTAATCTAAAGCTAGGATACACACTCTATTTTGACAGTTTTGCCTTGGCCAGCTCACACTTTTTGTGCCTGTGTTACAGAACTCAAAATTTAGAATAATAAACTCCATAGCAATGGTCCTTTTCTACAGAGGCGTTTTTGAAGTGGTTCAATCATTCAGTAAATGTGCTAAACATTATTTTGTAATCTAACTTATAAACCAGAGACTAGCTTTATGGTGTTCCCCATATTTTTACTATAAAACCTTTAAGTATTGTTCCTTGACTATGGCCTCTTGCCGGCCAACTCTGAGTAAACTACTGGAAGCCATTGAATAATCTTTTAGTTCCTGTTTTACCAAGGTTAAAACCACTCAGCTAGGCCTTGTGTGTCAAACCTGGTGAAACAATTTTGCTCGTTAGTAGCCTGTGAAAACAGCCGTCTCTCCTTGCTCCTCACCAACGGAGACATTGGCTGATTTAGCAACAAAACAGGAACGTCTGTTGACGACTGCGCGCGCATTTCAAACTACTGGATTGACCAATGGCAGAGTGGCAAATTGGGTACCGGAAGTCGAGTTTAGTCCTTTCCGCGCGCTTACCCATCGTCAAATGACGTCCCTGTTCTGTTGCTTAATCAGCCTATTTTGTGGGCGAGGACCGAAGAGAATGAATGAATGACTGACTGACTGACTGACTGACTGACTGACTGACTGACTAAAGCAAGCCCTATGGTTCTTTTATAAACACAGGCAACATTAGCTCCAAGGGTGAGCGCCTATAAGAATTGTCCTACATTACATGCATTGTATGTCTTCATAATTCACTTACCCTATATTTCCAACTTTGCAGTATATGCATGAAGATGGCTACACGAATTACGGTATGATAGGTTGCACTCAACCTCGGCGAGTGGCAGCCGTGTCTGTTGCTAAACGTGTGAGCGAGGAGTTTGGATGTAGACTTGGTGAAGAAGTTGGTTACGCCATTCGGTTCGAAGATGTTACTTCAGAGGAACACTGTATGTTACATGCTGGGAGAGGTTCAGTATGGCGGAAGGGTCACAGACGACTTTGATAAACGGCTTCTAAACACTTTTGCCAAGGTGAATACTCTGAAAACTAACCGAGTGTCTGCATTGTAGTTAAGAAAATACACTGTTAGGCCTGTTTCAAACGTCGTGCTACTGCTATGCTAAGCTGACTCGACTGTTGCTCGACTGCGGCACGACACTAGCACGACTTGGTTTCAGACGCCGAGTTTAATTCAGTCGAATAGAACGGCTGTTGCCGAAAACGAAACACAAAAATAAAGAAACGGTTTAGCAAACTTTAAAATGTATTCCAATGTATTTATAATTTATGAATTGAGTTCGGCACGGCGGTAGCACGACTTGGTTTTAAACGTCGCCCTACTGCCGTGCTAAAGTCGAATTTAATTCGATCAATTGAGTTCGGTACGGCAGTAGCACGACGTTTGAAACGGGCCTTAGATATTAACACTTGTAAGAATCAAACGGCCTAAATCAATTAGAAAGTAACCTCGGTATTTTGGGACGGTTGTTTAATTTCCACGGAATAAGTTGAGTCTTGTCAGGCACAAGACTTTTTTGGTTCCTGGAAACATTTTTATGTGCATGTTTTGCTTGGAAACTATCAAATCATGTATTTTCGCAAAACTTTCTGTTTGAACAGAGAAAAAGTTTCTTTGTAGTTGTATTTAACTAGGGACATTCAAGAGCCAAGTAGATTTGTCCTCAGTTTAGGGACCGTTCATTTTTTATGGGGTAGGGGGGGGGGGGGGGGCTGGTGGGATTTGGAGGAGTGTAATTTGAAAATTGTATGACCCCCCCAATTTCCGATTTTTTTCGCATGCCCCCCCCTCATCAGAGTAATTTTTTGGAAGCCCCCACCCCCCCCATGAATAAAAAAATACATAAGGTATTAAAAAAGTTACTGCATTAAAATTTCGTTTTGTTACATTTCACGTAATTTAGTGAAAGAAAGCTGAAAGTTAGAGAGCTGTTTTTAACAAATCCTCACTCAAAAGAATGAAAAGTCAATTTCAGCTCTTTTTGTTACTGCTCGTCCTGAGCGTGTTGTAGCTGGCCGCTCGTCTACATATTCCTCGTCTGAGGCGATAAAAGCAAGAACGACATCATTTGAGTCGTCTTCAGAGTCAGTCGCTAATTTTTTCGTCCGACCCCCCCCCTTTCCTTCATTTTTTTTCGGCTGGCCCCCCCTTTCAAGCCAATTTTTTTCGAGTGGCCCCCCCAAATCCCACCAGCCCCCCCCTCTCTTATAAAAAATGAACGGTCCCTTACAATTTCACTTTTACTGACCTTCAGCACGAGCTACCAGCATTTTTACAGATCTGCTCCCTGAGCCAATGGTTATGTAGTTTTTCACTTCATCTTTTATAGGTGTGGTTTAGCGAGTCAATGTTCCAGCAAAGTTTTAATTTCTACAAGGGTTATATTATACCAAAGTGTAGCTCGGTATCGCAATACATGGATCACATTGACACTCTCCCCCTTGTAGACTCCCCTGAGGTGTTTGGACTGCATCCAAACGCCGATATCACGTAAGTTGAGATTTAACGAAACAAGGCTTAGAACCCCTTCACGGTTGAGATTTAACGAAACAAGGCTTAGAACCCCTTGACTTCCAGTTTTAGAAAATTGTTTAGAAAGAAAAATAGCCCTAACTCTTTAAACCATCTTTTTGTGTTTAAAAATACGATACTGCAACAACCGTTGTAAAATCCGAGGAAGAAGTTGTAAAAAAGAACTTTGCACCTTTGCATGTTAAATTGTAGCTACGTTAACGATGCATTCGGCTGAAAAACAAAATGAACAGGGCTGTCGAAATTAACTAACGAGTATTTCACGTGTGTTTACAGATACCAGAGTAACCTGGCCAAGTCTTGCCTGGATACAATCCTTAGCATTCAGCAAAAGGATAGCTCGGGCGGCGGAGGAGAAACCCGCGAGTCTGTTGTACAGCGGCTGGCTGATGACATGCTGGATAAGCTTCCTGAAAACTACATCGCACATGAGGTAAACTGAACGAATAAGATTATTTTGACGTTTCACTGTGTATCCGAGTCTTCAGTTCTTTGTCAATCACGGAAAAAAAGTGGACCTCTTTTCATCGAGGATTTTCTAGCGTATAAACTGGTACTCGAGTACAAAGGTTGAAAATTCTCATTTTTTTTCATTTCAGGTGAAGGCGAGGTTACAGAAGATGGGAGCACTGTCTCCCATGAATATCTTCTTGAGGCAAGAAATCGATCGAATGCAGAGAGTTATCACCGCTGTGCGGCAGACACTGACAGATCTAAAACTGGCCATTGACGGAACCATCATTATGAGCGAGGTTAGCTTTCTTCTATTCTGCCTTTTTGGCATTTTCTTCAAGTTTTATCTTTCTTTGAAAAACCTGAGAATCATCGAATGACAATGTGGAATATTATCGCCAATCCTTGGCTTTCAAAAAACGGAGCTGATAAATTGGTTTTGTTTGTTTGTTTGTTTTTTATAATTTGCCATCATGTAAATGGTCATGAGAAGTGCCAATGTTAGTTAGAGTGACCAAGCCATTCTTTTATTGTAGCTATAGCAGGTGCAGCCAAACGGACTGTTCCATGTCCTGGGCTTAAACTTTCACTGTGCACTTTTCTTTATTTGATTTTTATACTATTCTTGTCCTTTTCTTTAGACTTTAAGAGACTCACTTGACTGTATGTACGATGCCAGGATACCTACACACTGGAAAAAAGTAAGTAGTTGACAATTAACCCTTTAAACCCTAATATCAAAATTTGAATTCTCAATTGTTGCCCCTATTCATTTCCCACAGAATCAGCGGGGAGAAGTTGATAAAATATCAAGCAAATTCTTCTTGTGGGATCATTTCCGTAATTCTCTTGACCACTCTCTTTTACAAAGGGTAAGGGTTAAGACAGGAGAAAATGTCGGGACAACCACAGGTTAAAGCGGTCTAGTTACACATTTAAAAGTACTTTCCCGAGAAGACATCGACCACTTTTTTCCATTTTTCTTCCACTTTATTTCATCACTTTGTAGATCTCATGGGAGTCTTCCACGCTTGGATTCTGGTACACCGAACTTTTGGAAAGAAACAGCCAGTTTAGGAATTGGTGTTTTGAAGGAAGACCTAATGTGTTCTGGATGACAGGCTTCTTCAATCCCCAAGGATTCCTCACCGCCATGAGACAGGTATGATTTATTCGCCACTTTAAGGTTGCGCGGGAAACCGGGTCGAAATGGTTGTCAAAGTGCATTGTGGGACTTTTTGGGGGGACAAATTTGCCGCCATATTGAAAATGCGTCCTCCAAAACAGTCCCACAATGCACTTCGACAATCATCTCGACCCGAACTCCCGCGTAACCTCCGGACCTCTGTTTCAAAACGAGGGTAGGTGCTCAGCCTTTGATATGGAAATCATTTTTCCTTCTCATGCAAATGAAACTCATTTTCACAAGAAAGGTTGTGCACCTAGCCTCATTTTGAAAGTGAGGGTTTTTGGAACTCGGAAGTGGCCTATTGTAATCGCTGGTAGTCAGTTTTGCTCAGTAATTAACAGTATCACTCGTTTTACCGTACGTTTGGTCAGTCATAGACCAACGGTGAAGTCAGAGAGTGACCCCGGAGGCGAGTTGGTGAAATATAACGTCGTCATATGTTGACGCCTCTAGAGACCCTTTGGTAGCTTTAAACATATTTAGTAGAAAAGACTGGTTATGACAGGCCGCAAACATTAAAGGTAACAACAACGGTACCGCAGTTTATGTTGGAAGTTCTCTGACGGTGCACAATTCTTTGTTTTTTAATGACGGAATAAATTAATGTAACGTTTCTATTGGTCAAAAAGATCAATAATACAGGAATGCTAACCATTCCAATATATCAACTATGCTTTAACCTAACTACTATGTAGCTAGTTACAAGGAATATATGTTTTGGTTCAATTTTTTCCTCTGTTTTTTATCTCCTTCATTATCATATATCACCATACCCAAAAACAAAAGAAAATGAAATTTAAACCAAAGATAAAATTAAACCACAACATTTACATTTTTACAATATTTGTCAATATCATGAGATAAAAATTAAACCAGCCTTGTAGTGTGCGAATGATTTTTTTCCTATTTCTTTCTTTACCTTAAGAAACAAAATTTACGCATGATTTTTTTCTATTTATCAGGAAGTGACGCGTGCGCACAAGGGCTGGGCCCTGGACTGCGTGGTGCTTCATAATGACGTCACGCGTTTCTTTAAAGATGACATCACTCAGCCCCCAGCTGAAGGGGTCTATGTGCATGGATTGTATCTTGACGGAGCAGGGTGGGATCGCAGAGGCTGCAAACTTGTGGAACCCACTCAAAAGGTTCTCTTCACAGCCATGCCGGTCATTCATATCTACGCTATTAACACGACCGCTAGCCGAGATGCCCGGATGTACCAGTGCCCGATATACAAGAAACCAAGGAGAACAGATCTGACGTATATTGCAAGTGTGGACTTGAAAACCAATCAGAATCCAGATCACTGGATTCTGCGCGGTGTCGCCCTGCTGTGTGACATTAAGTAAATTTCTGCATATTACTCAAGATCTTTCAAAAAAAAGTTATTCCTTGGAACCGTTGTAAACATGGGTTAGAAATTCGAGTTAGAAATTAACTTGACTTGTTAACTGTTTATTGTCCAATCACGAAAGACGACCAAAAAATAACACTAGATTTTTATGAGGCATCTTACGTTTGAAAATTGACTATTTATACGCAAAGTGTGGAAGAACGTACCTCTATCCGAGCAAGACATTCTGACATGATATAAAACCTGGCTGAATTTTCTGAAACCTCTGCATTGGTTCAGTGTAAATAATTGTATGATTGTGTCGTGGAGTCACTGAAATAGTCCGAATAGTTTTACTGCATCCCTGTATTATAGAAGAAAAGACTATATAGTCACAGAGAGTATATACTTGATTTTGGAAGTTATTTATTGTCTCACTTATTTGAACACGTTTTGAGCAGAATTCTTCTGTACATTGTGAAAATCGTTTTTAAAGCCGAAAAGAAAAGAGTATTGTTTGTCAAGGAAGATGACACACTAACTACCAGAACATCTGAAGGAAAACGTACGAATTAAAAATTTTATAGTAGTCACCTTCCGTTTCATTACAACTTCAGAAAAAGTAAAATACCACTTTAAAGAGATGTCTTATTCTTCCATTGATGTTTACGGAGCGCTACCACTAGAGATGTAAAGGTACACTAAAACGAACAAAACAAGAATTATTCAACTTATTTAGCAGAATTGTTGCAATACAAGTTGCACGTTTTTGGTGCTCGTTTTAACGTAGTTTCGTGTTGTGAATCTCAAAAATTATTGGTATTGAGAAAGGGTTCTATCAAGGATTTATCGTTTGGGAGTGAAGTCCCGAGGGATCGAAAGCCACGAGCTTCCTAGGGGGTGCGGGGGCATGCCCCCACCAGAAATTTTGAAATATATGCGCTGAGATGCAATCTGGTGCATTTTGAGACTCAATTTTGAGAAATGTTACTATGTGTGCACTGACCTCATCGCGTCTGGATGGTTTTTGCGATATAGTTACCAAAATACTGTAATGATAACAATATTTCTAGGGGGGAAGCTGGGCATTTTGGGTGGGAGAAACAATGACACATTTCTCCGCAAAACTGAAAGTTTTTTTTAATAACAATTCAATAGATTAACTGTAATGGTGATTTAAGTAAACCAGTTAAACAGTATGTAAAAATTAGTGCCAAATGGTTACAAGTAAATATAAGAAAACAATGAAATTAGAAAGAAATAGTTCGTATTCACGGGTTAAGTAAAATCACTCCAAGGTAGCGTGTCTTGTAAGCTCGATTAGCAGCCGCCGTTTGGGAAACGAGCTCGCGCTCCTGCCCTGAAAAGACTCCACGGAGCGTTCCAATGGGAGCGGCGGAAAGTCTTAAAAAAGTGACTTTTTTATATGGGGAACGCAAAAATTCCAAATACTCCGCGACACAGTTACTTTTGGCACGTTACAAGTTCTCGCTGGTTTAATTTGCTGGGACAGTTAAAGAAAAGCTGTTAACAGTGGGTATTAAAGCGTCGCTGCTATCAGTTCACTTGGGGCATTATCAAAATGACCAAAAAAATCTTAACCGGCATATCAAGGGTTCTTCAAAAATGGTTAAAAACCTCTCTTGTGCATAAAGATTTAACACTTAACTTTGACTTCGTGGGACAAAGAACTCCAGTTTAGGGTGTAGCCAAATCAGTCGAAGAGATTAAAAACATTTTTCGCCTCTGTCAAGCTCTTACAACAGCCCTTGTTTTCTGAAGCCTCGTAAATTTTAGATCAAACTGGAGGGAGTTTTTCAGTCAGAATTCCCGGCTTCATATTATAAAAAGTTACGTACTGCTATGCTTACTTTTTTTTCCTTCCTTCTTTTCCTTCTCTCTTTTGTTAGAAACACCTTAAACGAAAACGTCACACCTTCTGTTCGAATCAATATTTAAATTAAGACGATAACTGGCTGTGCTTATCTACAGCTAGGAAAAGCCAGCCTATATTTCTTAACGTATGCAGTCTAAAGGTTCTAACACAACCTTGAGCAGGTGTTATTTTAAGATCCGAAAAGTTTTTTTTTTTTCTTATCATAGCTGACTTCTGGAAATGAAATAAAGAGTAAATTTAAGCTACTAGCTCAAATTTAATACAGTTGCATGCTAAATTATAAACTGTCTCGCTCCTGTCCCTTTCTACTCTGGTACAGCTGGTGGACACAAGGTGGACAGCGGTTTGAAGTCTTCTTTGGGAAAAACAAGGTCTGTCTCGTCCTCTCTGAAAATGAAAGTAAAACTGGTTAGGTTCAAAACTCGGTCCAGGTCAACGCATCTACATATATGGAATACAATGGGTATTGTTATATAGTTGGAAAGTTCTTCCCGACAGCGCGTGCTCTCACTGGTCCCGTTCGAGGTCATATCTGAGCCAGCAACATTACAAAATTTATGACGTCAGAGGTAACATTGCGAATGTTGACCGACGACCGCCGTTACAGCGAGGTTTAATTATGGACTTCCAGCTTCAAAATTTCCAGCTCTATAACAATTCACTTCAAGACTGGTCCCTCCCTTTGTTTCCCAAGAATCTATATGTTTTTTTCGGCTTCACCTCGGGAAACATTGAGATTTTCGAGAAACAGAATGAACTGTTTCCCTAGGGCGGGTAAGTTATGAGTTGATTTATCCTGCTTTAACCATGTAAAAGAAAGGAAAAGAAGATTTCAGACAGGCAGAAACTTGCCCTACACATACCAGGCAATGAGGTGTGCGCTAGCGCATAAATGCAATCAATATATACTCCAAGGGCGAACCATAACAACACTCTACATCCTCCACAGACACAACAGACAGTCCTCTGATCTGATTAAGCTTATTTCAGCATGATTAAACAGTGTAATAAGACACTGCATGACACTGACGCCAACAGTTAATTGCTGTTGACTGCTGTCTCAAGGATGATGCACTTCGTTAATTCCTGGGACTGTCATCAAACAATACTTTACGACTATCACTTTGTGTGTATTTTTTTGTTATTACTATAATAATAATAATAATTATTATTATTATTATTATTATGATCATCATCATCATCATGACAACTATTTCGCCACATAGTTTTGATAAATATGGTTAGAAAACTTTGTGTGGTCAGTAATATTTTGTCTGTGGTGATACTATGGATTGAAAAAAAAACGGACTTCATGCCCTAATACAATTACGTAATATATGACCGAACTGGAAACTATTCAGTCATTTTAAAATTATGAATTTCAAAAAATATGACAAACAAATCATTAGTTCTATTTAAATTTATTTATTCTTCTTAAAGTTTAATGGTTATTGTTATTCATCCAAAATATTTCCCCAATTCTGATTGGCTAAAAGCACACGCATAATTCCCCATAACCAGTTACTGATGACCAAATTTGGAAGAATTTTGTGTTTACCGAGGAAATGACGTCAAAAATGCAGGCTTCTACGGGTTAATGAACCGTTAACCGAGAAGACCTGGGGACGAAGTTGAGTTGTTTTGGTTGTGAAAACAAAAATGGCCGACACTTCACTCGTTTCAAGAGTAAGAACTACAGTTGGAACTACGAGAAGTAATAGCTAAAAACATAACAAAAACAGCAAGAAGACAACTCGGAGGGCGACGTCTGCTATTTGGATAATATTTGCGGCGCTGGACAAACCTAAACGTACACTATCGAAGATGAACTTAACATCTATGGTTCGATGGAGGTAAGCATGTTTTAGCGATGTTTTTAAACTAGGAATTATTTTGAATGAATAATAAAACGATTATTGAATTCGGCTTTCGTATCATATGAAGAATTATGGAGATCTCGGAGGCTGTTATCCGTCGAGGCTGTACACCCTCCTCGATCTCCATAATTCTTCATAAGATACTCAGCCTCATTCATTAACTGTTCAACAATGATGATGATGACGATGATGATGAGGATGACGATGACGATGACGATGACGATGACGATGACGATGACGATGACGATGACGATGACGATGACGATGACGATGATGATGACGATGATGATGATGATGATGATGATGATGATGATGATGATGATGATGATGATAAAAGAGAAGACGTTTTACCTTGCTACAAGCCTCAACAGCAATTCAACCTTCTTTGAAGAATCAACCTTGATTGGGTCAGCAGTGGTGAAG